CTTCTCGGCCACGGTCATTCCCTCAATTCTCTACGCTTGCGAAACGTGGACCCCCCTAATGGAGCATATTCGCCGGTTGGAAACATTTAGGCTGGCCTGCCTACGATCCATCCTGGGCTTAACCAGGCTGGATTGTGTGAGGAGCTCACAAATCCTTGAAAGATCTGGGCAAAGTCCCATCGGTGAGCTCCTCCGGCAGGCAAGGCTGCGTTGGCTGGGTCATGTAGCCCGCATGCCCAGCCACCGCATGCCTAAACAGCTTATGTTCGGCCGTATCGAGGGGGCTAAACGGGCGCGGCACGGGCTAGAGAAGAGATGGAGTGATGTGGTACAGGAGGACGTGGAGCTGAGTGGACTTGCCGATGATTGGTACCAGCGGTGTCAAGATCGGCCTCTGTGGAGGAGGCTCGTGAAGGACGCTACTGGGCAGTTGGAGGCAGTCGCCCTCCAACAACAACGGAGGGCGGAGGAGCGACGCTCACAACAACGAGCGGTTCGCCGGGTGGCTAAAGCACAGCAAGTTGGTACGGTAGGGGGCACAGGTGGTGCATCAGCCAGTCATCTCGGTCATCTCGGTTAGTCGACCCGTGGCAACTGGGTCTGCCCCGTGACCTCCTGCCAGCGGGCGTTCGACACTTCACTTGGCCTCAAGGTGCACATGGCCTGGCACAAGCGTCGTGGTGACGTCACCGCCACTTAGTGGCGAATGGCGGTTGTTGTTGTCTGTGTGTGTGTCTGTATGTGTGTGTGTGTCTTTGTGTGTGTATGTGTCTGTGTGTGTGTCTGTGTGTGCGCTCACACTGACGTGTTTCCATGCACACTAGTACGCGTTGTTCGCTCGGGGAATTTACTCAACAGGCGATCAATCATTTAAACACAATTAAAATTAACATCGACAGGACAACGCACAACAAACACAACGCCAACCATCAGCCCTGTGCCCTCTTTATACAATCATATTCGATGCGTCCGAAATCTTTGGTTGACTTTGCCAGCGAGTGTTTGTGAATGAGTGTTAGTGTGAGTAAGTGTGTGAGTGAGTGTTAGTGAGTGTGTGAGTGTGAACGATTGTAAGTGTGAGTGAATGTGAGTGTTAGTGAGTGTATGAGTGTGTGAGTGAGTGTTTGTGTGAGTGTCAATGTTAGTGTGAGTGTTTGTGTGAGTGTGTATGAGTGTGTGTTAGTGTGAATGTTAGTGTGAGTGAGTGTCAGTGTGAGTGTTAGTGTGAATGTTAGTTTGAGTTTTTGTGTGAGTGTGAGTGAGTGTGAGTGAGTGTGAATGTCAGTGTGAGTGATAGTGTGGCTGAGTGAGTGTGAGTGAGTTGTGAGTGTGCGTGTGAGTGTTTGTGTGAGTGTTAGTGCGAGTGAGTGTTAGCCGTGCTGCCCACCCACCCCCTCGTGTGCCCGTGTCGCCCTTCAAATGCGCTGCTCGCTACGAACAGCACGTGCCCCCCGGCAGAGAGAAATCCGCGAAGGCTCCACGGAGGGGAGGGGAGGGGTGGTTCAGGGTGTTGCCCCCCCCCCCTCGCCAGAGTTCACAGGAGCGCCATGGAGCGTCCGAACGAGGTGGCGATGCCGGGGGCTCTCGTCAAACCACGGGGGGGAGGAGGGGAGGGGTCCCTCCTTCACAACCCAGCAAAGTGTTGGAGCCACTCCGCCAAGTGAGAGCGAGCGTCGTGAAGAGCTGGCGGTCACCGCGAGATTCGTTTTCGTTGTTTTTTTACACACAAGAGTTGCGCGACTGCAAAATGCCAGCATTTTGACACCTACCAAAATATAAACCACACGCCCGCGCACAGACACACGCACACACACATACATATATATAAACGAATTCTCCCAAACACAACTATCATTGTAAATGTCTCGTGAAAGGAGTTCCATCCAAAATCGGGGTAGAAGGAGACGTGGGGAATGAGGACCTCCCCCCCCCCCAAACGAAGGTTGTGGGAGGCGGAACGCGTTGACAATACCAGAGGGGAGGGGAGGGGAAGTAGGGGGGAAGAGAGGGGAGGGGAGGGAGAGAGGGGATGGAGAGGAAGTAGGGGGGGAGAGGGGAGGGGAGAGAGAGGGGAGGAGAGGAGAGAGGGGAGGGGAGGGAGGGGAAGTAGGGGGGAAGAGAGGGGAGGGGAGGAGAGAGGGGAGGGAGGGGAGGGAGAGAGGGGATGGAGAGGAAGTAGGGGGGGAGAGGGGAGGGGAGGAGAGAGGGGAGGGGAGGAGAGAGGGGAGGGGAGGAGAGAGGGGAGGGGAGGAGAGAGGGGAGGGGAGAGAGAGGGGAGGGGAGGAGAGAGGGGAGGGGAGGGAGGGGAGGGAGGGGAAGTAGGGGGGAAGAGAGGGGAGGGGAGGAGAGAGGGGAGGGAGGGGAGGGAGAGAGGGGATGGAGAGGAAGTAGGGGGGGAGAGGGGAGGGGAGGAGAGAGGGGAGGGGAGGAGAGAGGGGAGGGGAGGAGAGAGGGGAGGGGAGAGAGAGGGGAGGGGAGGAGAGAGAGGAGGGGAGGGAGGGGAGGGAGGGGAAGTAGGGGGGGAGAGAGGGGAGGGGAGGAGAGAGGGGAGGAAGAGAGAGAGAGGGGATGGAGGGGGTAGAGAGGGGAGGGGAGGGGAGGGAGGGGAGGGGTGGAAGGAAGGGAGATAGGGGAGGGAGAGAGGGGATGGAGGGGGGGGGGGAGAGGGGAGGAAGGGAGTGAGGGGAGTGAGGGGCAAGGGGGGCACAGGAGGGCACTCCGTGCACGCGGGAAGAGTAATTGACCGAACGTCCGGCTGAGTGTCCCACTGTAGCCCTCGCGCACTCGACTCGCAATCGGAAGGTCACGGGTTCAAGTTCCCCCCCCCCCTCCCGGTCAAGGTCAGCTCAGCCTAAAATCATCACCGCCACTATGACCATTCGTCTGAGTTCGTTAAAATGAGCACCAATTTGCATTGAAAATAAACGATTAGGAATAGACTGCCCCCTCCGCTCCCTGCCACTGGAATGTGGAATTTCCAGCAAGGCCGCCAACTGGAGATGAGCTCGCGAATGCTTGAGGGATCCGTGATGTTCAATCTGAAGGCAGTGAATGCGAGCGCTGTTAGCGAGCACCTATTAAGGCCGGCGTTGTGGTAGTTGTGCGATGGTGGGAGGGGGAGGGGGGGTTAGAAGACCGCATGCCCGGCCGCCTTTGTCTTTCCCCGCCCCCAGCGCTGGCGCACATCCCAATGACCCACAGCAGCACCACCACCCCCACACGCGACACGATATTACAATCAGTTTAGGCTGAGTCGACCCATGGGAGTCCCAAGCCCTGCTTTAAACGCCGAATGCCACAAGCAATCCACGACTGATCGGACCATCGTACAGTGTGCGCAGTGTGTAGGCAGACAGGGTAGTGCCCTCGGAGCATTTTGTAACAGTGCATTCCCCCTGGGCAACTTCGAGCAGTATCAGCCTCCCCACCCCAAGGGAAGCTTGCAGGAGTATTAATATCAGGACACCTGCAGCAGTATAAATGTTAGGACCATCTTGCAGCAGGCATGCTCCATGAGCATCTGTCAACAGTATCTACCCTCAGAGCAAGTACTTGCAGCAGTATATTCTTCCAGTGGCCCCCCTGCAACAGTCAAGTGCCCCGGCCCCGCCCCCATGAATAACGACAGCAGTATTTGCCCTCAGGGCACCTGTAGCAGTGTCTGCCCTCGGGGAAAGCACACGCAGCAGGGTATTCTTCCAGTGGCCCCATGCAGCAGCAGAACGCTCCTTCGGCAGCAAATGCCCGACGGGTGCTAAAAGTGCAGCATTATCCGCACGTTCCGTGCAGCAGTATATTCTTCCAGTAGTGCTTGCAGCAGTAACGACCTTCAAGACACCCGCAACGGGATATTCCCTCAAGTGCCCTTCCACAGGCGTGCCAAACCAAAACAATCTCGTTCGCATCCCCCCCCCAGGTGCAAAAAGTGCAGCGGTAGGGCGGTTGCCCTCATGGCGTTTGCAGCAGGTCCTGCAGCAGGAGCTCAATGGCCAGGTCGCCCTGGCTGGAGCCGAAGAAGAGCTGCGTGATGGAAGCCGGCGGCACGGAGCGCAGCAGGCAGAGCGCCAGCAGCAGGCGGCCCAGGCGCGGGGGCCCCGACGAGCCGGAGACGCGGGCCCACTCGCAGAGCGCCTGCTGCGCCTCCAGCTGCAGCGCTTGCACGCAGGCGCGAGCACAGAGGCTTTCCACGTCTAGAGGAGGGGGCACGGGGGGCAACAGGAGACGTTATCGCGGGAGGAAGGCACCACGGCTGACAACACCACCATCAGCATCACCAACACCATCATCATCATCAAGAGAAAGATCCCCCGTATAGCCTGAACAGACCGTTGGGGCAAGTGCTGTTAGCGAGAATCTATGAAGGCCGGCACAGCAAACGAGTGGGTGGGGTGGCCAACACCCCGCCTGGCCGCCTTTGTCTCCCAAGTGGCAATGTTTACACATCGCACCAGGTACCAATTTGAGGCTGAGTCGACCTAGGTGAGGTTCAGGACCGGTTCAGATAATTCTCACTGGTGTTGGCCGTGAGGGGGGATCGAACTCGTGTCGCCGGGTTCGTACCGCAGCGCGCTAACCGCTAAACTACCACTCCCCACCACCATCATGAACACCACTATCAACATCACCACCAACACCAGCACCAACACCACCACCAACACCACCACCAACACCACCACCACCAACACCACCACCAACACCACCACCACCAACACCCACCACCGACACCACCACCAACACCACCACCAACACCACCACCAACACCACCACAACACCACCACCACCAACACCACCACCAACACCACCCACCATCACCACCAGCACCCAGAGCCACGCTCCCATGCTCACGGGGAGAGGGGGTTAAGAGTGTCTGGCTGCGGTAAGTCGCCCACGCGGCTGATGAGCCGCTTCGTTCAGCTTCAGTGCCATTCATTGTGGCGTCCCAAGGTGGACTCCTGAAACAGAGCGACGCATTGCAGCCCAGTGGGCCTTACCTCGTGGGGACATTAATAAAGTGATTAAACTGCTACGAGTTAAATCCAAGCGTTCCCTGGAGCGCCGTCTTCTCCTGTGTTTCAGACCTGACGACAGTCGGGTGGAAATTCCACGTTGCTATAGCAGGGGGCGGGAGCGAGTCTATCCATAACACAACCACTGTTACTTTCTCCACATTTTGGTACTCGTTTTATTGACCCCGCCGGGGTGTTGATGATGATGGGCTGAGTTAACCCTGAGTCAACCCATAACCAGCAGCGCTCCCCATTTGGGGTCTAACGGCCCCCTAATCATGACGAGTGGTACCCCCCCCCACCCCCTGGGCCCCCCACTGAGACCCCCCCCCCCAGACACCCAGCCATGTGACACACGCACAGGCATCCACGCCCCGAGTCAACGGTGCTGATATCGCTCACAACCTCTAGGTCAGCCCCGGTCCGGGAATCGAACTGTGGCCGCCGAACCTGTCGGCTCCATCGGCCAGTGAGTCCTCCCAACACCCAATGATTGTGTTGCCGCTGCACGGCTCTCGCTGAGCACAAGACCCTAAACTCCAAGCGGCCAGCAACAGACAGCACGAATTGCGGGCGTTAGATACGGCCGTGGGTGAGAGCGCCTGGCGAACGCGTTCCTTTGAGTTGAGCAAAGTTGCAAGCGCGGTCAGAGACGTTGGGGAGGGCATTCAAGAAGTGAAATGCCGGGAGGACATTCCAAAGTGAGATGCTGTGATGAGTGAATCACAGAGGGCTGGACGGGTTTCCACTGCTCTGAGCCTCGTCAGCAGGCAGTGGCCTATCCACGGTCCAGGCGAGATCCCTTAAAATATTATTTTATAAATGCAAAGCAAGCTGTAGAAATGCCCACGATGACGTACACGCTTAACAACGTGGTCATTAACTAACAAAATGTGACGAAAACTTCTGGGTGCACAAGCAGAATGGAGAGAGAGAGAGAAAGAGATGGCACACGTGGGAAGACACGAGGGTGCCGCCGTGGCGAGATGTTTACGACCTCGCCTGGTATACAAGAGGTCGTGCGTGGGTTCGATCCCGACCCTAACGCCTGGAGTTGACACATGTTTTTGGAATTTTCTCCTGTTCCTCGGTTTTTTCCCTCCGCATTTAGAGAAACGTGCGTTTCGCGAATGTGGCTGCTGTAAATGTCCACGTGATGATAAGTCGCTTCGTTGAGCTACGATTTGTGGCGAGGTCGCTTCTGAAAAAGAGATTAATAGCTCAGAGGGCCTTACTTGATGAAATAAAATAATAGTTTAGATTAGTTTTAATAGAGATAGAAAGGAGCACGTGCATTAGAGAGCGCGTGCAGGATTGAGACGTCGTAATATCCATCGTCATCCAGCAGTGGATTGACCATGTCAGCAGCTGCTGCTGCTGCTGCTGGTGGTGGTGGTGGTTAGCGCGCTGCACTACGAACCTGGCGAACCGAGTTCGATTCCCGCTCACGGCCAACACCAGTGACGATGATCTAAACATGTCCTTGACCTCCTCCCCCTAGGTCGACTCAGCCTCAAATGAGTACCTGGTGCTGCGTGTAAAACATCGCCACTGGGGAGACCAAGGCGGTCGGGCGCGGTGCTGGCCACCCGCCACCAACCTCGCGTGCTGCGCCGGCCTTCATGCTGCACTTGCCCCAACAGTCTGCGAAGGCTACACGGGGGACCTTTGTCTGTGGTGCGGCAGTGAGTTGCCCCGGGGAGACGGAGGGCTGGGTGTGCCGGGAAGATGGACTCTGAGTGTCCACCCCCCTCCCCCCCTCCCCTCCGCGAGCCCAGCAGGAAACTCGACCCCCAGCGGCACGGGTCGCAGTGCTGCCAAACTTAGCCCAGCCCCTCGGTCTTCGATCGGTGCCACTTGCTAACAGCACTTCACGCCACACAGCCTCGTCAAGGCGATACACGGCCGCGCCGCGGCGGGCGGGGGGGGTCTTTGTGTCTGGGGAGCGGTGGCGCAGTGGTTAGCGCGCCGCGCTACGAACCCGGCGACGAAAGTTCCGATTCCCGCCATCAATACCAGTGAGGAGTATCATCCGTATCGTTCCCGGGCATCCCCTAGGTCGACTCCGTCTCAAATGAGTACCTGGTGCGGTGTGTAAAACATCGCCACCGGGGAGACAAAGGCAGGTCGGGCGTAGTGCTGGCCACCCACCCCCTCGTGTGCTGTGCTGACCTTCATAGATGCTACTTGCTAACAGCACTTGCCCCAACAGTCTGTTCGAGTTTATACGGGAGATCTTTGTCTTTGTCTCGTGTGCCTGTGTACGTGTGCGCTCGCTGACAGCACTTGCCCCCCAAAAATATACGGGGGGGGGACTTTATCTGTGCCTGTGCGTTTGGCATCACCGCGTGACGCGGCATTAGGGAGGTCTTCATCCAGCAGTGGAACAGCAAAGCGCTGTGGGGCAATGATTGTGATGACGATGGCGGTGTTTCACCTTCGGGGTGTCTATGGACGACGCGTCGCGTGGTGTCGTGGGAAATGGGAGAGGATAACTCCGCTGCCCGCCCTGGAGGTGTTTGGGGGGTCCAATATTACAGATCCTATTGTCAATACAATACAAAAACTACCCCCCAAAAACGAATAGTTTTGCTGACATCGTAAAAGGAGTTATATATATATTTTAGAATGCAATTCTTTACAGGTTGTTTTGTAAACGTGATATTTATTTAGCCATTAGAGTGAAATGATGATTCCGTGTCTGGGAATCGAACTCGGGCCACCGCGTTTGTAGCGTAGCGCGCTAACCGCTGCACCACCGCTCCCCCCATTTTATATGTACATTTTTAAACTCACACCCCTCAATAACACAGTGGCTTCAGAAGGAAACCATATAGACGACGACGTTTCGGACAGTGGTCCTTAATCATATCACGTAAACACCGTCACTTCATGGGGAACGGCGGTTGTTGTTGTTGTTGTGGGAGGGTGGAGCGGTGGCGCAGTGGTTAGCGCAGTGCACGATGAACCCGCTGACGAGCGTGCCATTAATAATGTAGGTGTCGTTAAACCCGCCACCACCCGACACAGCCAACTAGTAAGGTTTGTCACGTAAACAGAACGTGGCCAATTCGTTACTCGTACAGCACTAACCGGTGTGTTGGAGAGAAAATCAGACGTGACGAAGAAATAACCCCCCTGTATTATGGATGATATTGGTCGCGAAAGCCTCTGTGTCAAACTCGAGTTCCATTCATGGCTAACATGCGTGGCGAGTGATTTCTGAATCGGTGCTGCTCCATGTGCATGTAGGACTTGGTCTACCAGACACGGACTGTGTCGTCTCATCCAACTCACTGACCCACTCACTCTCACCCACTCGCTCACCCACTCACTCACCCACTCATTCACTCATTCACTCTCAACCACTTGCTAACCCACTCACTCGCCCACTCACTCATTTACTCTCAGCCACTTATTCTTGGTTCTTTCGGTAAAATCACGTAGAAGGGAAATAATAAAATAAAATAAAAAAATAAAAAATTCTCACGACGTTTCGACTGCAACACAAGCAATCATCATCAGGTGCGACATCCACAGCAAGAACATTTGCTGTGGATTTCACACCTGATGATGATTGCTTGTGTTGCAGTCGAAACGTCGTGAGAATTTTATTGTTTTATATTTTTATTATTTAATTGCTTCCCTTCTACGTGACTTTACCGAAAGAACCAAGAATATGAATCCCTGCATTCACGAAAGCTTTAAATCAAAATCTCAGCCACTTGCTAACCCACTCACTCACCCACTCATTCACTCTCAGCCACTTGCTTAACCCACTCACTCATTTACTCACCCACTCACTTACCCACACAAACGAAGATCCACCGTCGAGCCTTTAACAGACGGTGCTCTTAGTGCTGTTAGCGAGCACCTAGTAAGGCCGGAACGGTTACACGATGGCGTGGTGTGGCTAACACCACGCCCGGCCGCTTTTAACCCCCCAGTGCTGATATTTACACACTACAACGAGTACTCATTTCAGGCTGAGTCGACCTAGGGAGCAAACCCAAAATCGGTTTAGATATTTACCACTGTTAGCCGTAGCGACTCCAGATGGCCGTGTTCATAGTGCTGCTTTATCTCTCCCCAACCGCCGAGACAATTACAGTGATCATCCACATACAGACATTAGCAGACGATTGGGACAAGTGCTGTTAGCGAGCACCTCTTAAAGAACCAGC